TTATTTTTCATATTATATATATATATCTTTTCCTGCTTTTTATTAAGGGTAATATTACAACAACTATTTTTTCAAGTTACATTTGTTCTTTTTATTTAAATTAATTAATACAGGCTCATAGATCATCATCAGAGTCGTAATTTATACATACAAAAAAGGTAATGTTTTTTTATGCATTTCTCATGGTCCCACCTTCTGCAACGCGTGAATTGCATCCAAGTATCCCCAAATTCGCTACTACCATAAGGTTCCTCACATACCATGTATTCAGTTCCATCTTCCGACTCTGAGGATGAAGAAACATTTTTTTGAGTTCCGAATGTAGATGGGACTAGGTTATCACGAAAAAGAAATCTGCTACCATCATTCGGTGTATTTTTCTCATTTTCCTTATCAGCCATCTTTTTACTTTTCTTGCACTTTTGTTTTTTCTTTTTGGTGCCTTTTTTTCTTGCTCCGGAGCTTCTTTTATTGTAGTATCCGCTAAAATTGCAGTTTGTCTCCTTTTTCTGCCCCTTTGTGTATTATTTTGTCGTGGTCCCGCTTTAGGAAAAGGTCTCACTTCCTCAGGAGAAACAAACTTAGAGGCAGTCTTTTCTAGAGTTACTGGAGTCTAGTATTGTTGTTGTTTAAATGTCGATATAAGTTNATTGCAGTTTGTCTCCTTTTTCTGCCCCTTTGTGTATTATTTTGTCGTGGTCCCGCTTTAGGAAAAGGTCTCACTTCCTCAGGAGAAACAAACTTAGAGGCAGTTTTTTCTAGAGTTACTGGAGTCTAGTATTGTTGTTGTTTAAATGTCGATATAAGTTGAGAAATACACTTGGGATTAGTTGACTAATAAGTCATTTAACCCCAATGGAGCTAGGTCAAGAAACCCCGTCCAGCCATTTTGAATTCGCGAAGGTCGTACATCCACAATTGATGCGTAGTATTAGAAATAAACATAGACAATTAGAGTTAAGAAGCAATACTTTTACAAAAATACTAGTGTATATGCATAGACAATAATTATTCCTACAGTATAAAATAATGAAAAAATATGTTTAATGAACAAGAGTTGAGATTATAATGAGCTTTTTTCTCCCTATCTACAAGACATTGGAAGGGGCATATCGCTAGAGAAGGTAAACAAAGTATATGTAGGTATGTATTAAAGTCAAAAGTGTACTTTTGTTGGTATTGTTTTTAAAACGTACTCACCTTTACGTAAGTTTTTATATATCGCATGCAGCAATCAATACATTTTTCAAACATTTTAATACCACTCCGTATTTTCTTTTCCTTGAATACAATGCTAAAGTCGATAAAATCTATGCATTGCTGTATTATCTGGTTGCTGAGCATCCAAAATAAACCGCTAACCTTTTCTCTAGTATTATAATACTCGCTATTTA